TACCACCTTCCCATCAACATGAAGCCTCCCCCAGTCACAGAAATCTGCTTTGATAACATGGCTGAGACGTACTTTTCCCATATCTGTGCTCTTCCACATTCCACACCATGCTCTGGTGGTAGCCTTTGGACAGTTTCTCTCCAACAACCTCCAGCTGCCGGTATCCCCACTCGGGTAAAGATGCTCCACTGAGCTGAAAGTGAAAGATGACTGTAAACTTAGAGTTCTGCCAATTTGGACTTCAGGATGGAAGTTCCTAGGCCCTGCCTGAACAGCAGATCACAGCAGGGGACTACTAGAAAGTACATGAAGAGTCACTGTGCAATACTGTCTCAACAAATGCTACAGCTGTGAAGTCAGTGATTCTGAGAAGCTCTGTGGTGAGATCCTCCTTAACCATTCCAGCTTCTGCCACATAACTACACACAGGCTCAGCATCAATTTCTGAGGCAGTATCTGGACAGTTTTCACAACATCCTGAGAAGCAGGATGGCTCTGCAGGCTGAAAAAGAATGAAGTATGACTACCTGAAACACATACTGCCCTTTTATCACACTGAGCAAGTTTATTGTTTCCTTTTATTTACTTATCTGGTTTTTTGTTTCAGTGGTTTAGGCATTCTGGAGCAGAGAGATTAGCAGTTTATGAGATTACAAGAACTGCATGGAGGAAAAGCTGTAAGTAAATAAACATAAATCCGCTTGCCTTTAGCACTGCAGAGGTGTTCACGTGAACAAACCTCACTTCCGACAGAATTGTCTTCCACACATCTGTGTCAGACTCCCGATTTACAATTTCCTACAACAGAAAGATGTCTTTTGATCATTATGTTGTCTCAGCTGTTTCTGCTGGAACACGATGAGCTCCTCCCTTCCCTTTGACCACTCACCACTCTCCAAAGGTTCTGTGCTGGCATGGAGATGTTATAATCAATATAGCAGGAAACTTCTTGGGAGTGGGGGCTAAGAGGGGCAGCAACATCATGCCTAGAAGACGAGTAAAGTAAGATCCTCCAACACCACTTCCCAAACTCATATAAAAAGCAAACCTATAAAAGTATTGAATTGCCTTAGACCAGATTCAGTAATAAAGCAAAACCAAGCAACTCATTTATACAGATTGCACTGTTTACTCTGAAAGAGAACACTCCCCACTACCAAGAGCTGCCAGGAACAGCTCAGAGGAAGCCAATACAGATGCCTATGCCAGGCTGAAGAACAAGCGGTGATTGTGGCAAACAGACATGCTGTTCACTGGGGTTTCCAGTAATGAACAAACTAGGTTTGGAAGGGACATAGCAAAAACCCAAGCTCAGAACATCCCCTTCCTAATCTGAGTGATATTCAAGTACACACAGACACCCTTTGGGAAGCAGTCAGGAGGCAATTTCATACTAGAGTCTGCAAAACAGGCAAGAATCTGTGGCAATCAGACACAGCACACTGCATTCTCCAATACATTCTCCTAACTTTGAGAACACAACCTTTATGCAGGAGTATGCCATCAATGTCAGTGGAGCTGGTAGATGACTTTGAGTTAAGTCAAGTTACACAAAATACTAAATATCTGCACCTGCCTGAGGCAGAGGCAGTGAAGGGACAAGGATGAAGACTCACAAAGGGGACTATGTATTTAGGAATCTGCAGAACTATCATGAATTGTGAACATGGGTGAAACCACACTAGCCCCTCTAAAGGCCACTAGTAGAGAAGACCAGAAACAGCTATCAGCCACTGAACAGTTTGTGATTAGTATGAAATCCCACTGCCAGGTCAACTGCAAAAAATAAATAAGCATACAGCATCCTTTCTGTGGGCCACAGGGATGGCTTATGTAAGTAACCACAAGGTCCCTCCTAGCCCCACCATTCTGAGAATCCATGAATAACAGGCAGTTTATAGCATATCTGAATGCAAGGGTCACTGCGCTTCAACCCCTGAATAGTTATTCTGAGAGACAACAAAGCAGAATGAGCCAGCAGGATCGGCAGAGCCTGAGAGAGTATGAGGAAAGGACTTACGTGTTGAGGTACCGAGTTGTGATGCCGTGGACCAGCTGCACGATGTGTCCGTGCCTGACAGGACGGGGTGGGTTACTCACCACCAGCTGCTGCCTGGTGGAGTGACACCCAAGAGGAAATTATTACATTCTTCTTTGTATATAATGCAACCTCGTCATGACCAAACCGTTAGGTCAAGAAGCTGCAGGCAGGGACAAACATTCAGGCAGTAGGATGAGAAATTCAAGCAATCTATAGATTGTACTAGAATGGAAAACAAAGCTCACCAAGGCAAAGGTGAGTTAAGGGCAGAGTGACTCAGAGGATCGGTAATGGGATACCCAAAGCCCAGCCATTAGGTCAGTGATCTGAATCCAGGTCAGTCAGGAGCGAGTTCAGATTATTCCCACCACACAGCTGGTTGGTGGCTTCTGTGAAATGAGTAAGGGCTTCAGTGAGGTCTGACAGGTGTTCTTACTTATAATTTTTGGCAGAATTATAACAGAGATCAATGGGTATCTCCACCACGAAGACCAAACTCTCGTCTTGCTTCTGGACAGGGCTAAGGCATGCTTTGGCAAGGGGGACGTTACAGTTCACCTAACTGCTGCCTGTATTCTACTGTTCTACAGAAGGACTTCACAGCCTCCAGGGCTTGTAGAAGTCTTGACTTTGAAAATTTTTAAGAAGATGCTGGGTTTCTGTGGTTCTGGTAGAGTCCCTGCTTGAAAGGTTTGCATTATGGACAAACCTTCCCAATGTGGATATGATTTATAACGGCACATAGTCCTTCTGGTAGGACTGTTTATGCAGTTCCCAGAGCAACACAAGAAACCTACAAAAGCAACTTTTTGATCAGTATGAAATGATATCACACAAGGGCTTTTACTGGCAAAACTACAAGAGCAAAGAGTCCTACTCCTCACTGACAGTTACAATGGCAAAACACTTCAGCATGAACCAGCCCTCTCAGACACAGGCACCCACTTGGATGTGCCACTCCCTCCCCATGTGGCAGATTCTACAGCTCATCCCCCACTTTAAATACAAAGAAATACTCATTCTGCAAAAGTGATTTCTACTCCCTTCTGAGAACCATTCAAGTTTGATAAAACTCATCAAGGCACTCTAATGCCATGGCTCACACACTTCAAAAAGCAGAACTTCCCTTTCATGCAAAACACCTGAAGAGTTCCCACCACTCTCATGAGTCTTTGAAGTTCCCGTTGTGCACAACACAGCCTATGTTCTGGCAGGAGCAGTTCAGACAGAATTTCAGAGTCCTCAATAATGCTTTTACCATACTGAGGAGGACTGTGCAAAGAGCTGCCCTTACCAACTCTGCAGCTGAAATTATTTAGCATCACACATGGCCTCTATGCCAATAAGCAGAGAACAGTTATGTTCAATACAAGGTATGCCCTGGTTAGGTTTTGGAAGCATACAGAAGCTGTGCTCACAGCAGCTTGGCATTTAAATCTCTTGCGTACTCACATGCCAGGATCTTTGACAATCCACCAGTTGTTCACATCCTTGAAGGGATAGCAGGTCACCTGCTGTTGATGGGAACTACCTCGGCCATTCTCATACCTGTACAGAAGGTTAAAAAACCCACAGGTGTGTAACAGTACATTTTTGTGCTAATAGAGTCATAGCAGTACAAACCAGCACCAGATGACGGCTCCATCCCTACAGAGCACAGAGAATCTGTGCATCTGCAGTGTGCTCCGAGGACTAATGAAGAGATTGCCAGGACCCAAACTGAGATACTTGGACTGGCAGGTGAAGAACCAGAGCAACCCTAACAATACAGCCCCAACCAGACTGCTCACCTGATGGGATAAGTATTCGTGTGAGAATGGAGCCAACACTGCATGGGCTTGCCCAACACGTTCCGCAGAGTAATTTGAGAGCCGTAGGCCACCTCTAAGGGCTGACCCTGAGTGATTCGAGCCAGCCCACCCTGAGGAACATAATGATAGGGTAAGTGGAAAGAAGAAGCAACAACCCGGAGGTTGTTTAAATTCCATTAAGAGTCACTTGTAACTTTAACATAGCAGTATCTTAGCACAATGCCGTCTCATTTGGTTGTAGCTACAACAATCAAGTCTCGCAGCATCATACCCAGCAGACAGTAAATACACCAATGCCTGAAAGACTACAGGGTCTCAGGGAATATCCCTAAAGCCATGCTGTTCTAAAAGACAGACTAAGCACCTTCCTACAGAAAACCATACTACCATCCTGTAGTATACAACGTCATCACTTAAGAATTCAGTACTGTATCTACTTTTGTGGAGTATCCTGTAGGAAGGGACAAATCTTCAGCAGAAGAGTAAACATACTGTTCTTGGGTCGCTGGGAAAATCTTTTCATCTGTTATTAGGATTTCAGTTATTATTGCTTCATCTTAAAACAGTACTACAGCAGCAAAGCAGTTAAATGACATGAACAAATATACGCGATCAAAGGAACAAGATTGCACACCTTTCTTCTACTAGTGAACACAAGACAGATTTCCTCCTCTTCTCCCCTAATAAATCACTTTCATGACCACACTTCCTTTACCTCTAAGCTGGCTTGGAAAGCACTTGTCATAATCTGGTCATGAGGCCCAGAGCGATACAGCAAAGCCAAGTGAACATAGAAGAAGGACAGGTACATTGCCACTGGGATGATGATGAGGGCCAGTCCCCTAGCTAGAAAATGGCACGTCAAGGAAACCTAGAAGAATACAGAGAACTCAGTGGTTTCATGCTCCAGATAGTAAAAATATGCACTTGGCTTGTTTTGTTTGTCTTTTTTAAGTTTCCCCAGCCACCCTCATTCAGCTATAACTTCATAGACAGCTGGATAACTTCCTCCGAGGATTTGAACTGGAGCCAGCAGGAGGTATATGAAACAGTATAGGTTTTGAGCCATAAATCACCAAGACATGGATAAGAGCAAAAAAGCCAGCCATGCACACATACTTATCTAAATTTAACTCCATCTTCTCCAGCAACTGAGCTGGGAAAGTGTTCTATGACAGAAGGGTTTGCAGACTATGACAAGGAATTTTAGTACAAAAACTAGCTACAGACAGCATTGCTATCTGTGGGCTTGCAAGGCTCCTAGCTGGCTCCTGTACTGAAAAGTTACGTATAATAGATTTTGCATGTTGTGCTACCTACATTTGACAATTTATGGTCTCCTATCATGTGCCAGAAGTGGAATCCTGTGATGGCCAAGAGCAGCATATAGGTAAACACACCCATGTATTTCACTCTGAGAAAAAAATGCATAAAAATTGAACACAGTTAAAAACTACGCAATTACTTAATACAAGACGTAAACATTCAAACTTTCTCTTGACCAGGATGCATTAAAGTCCAAGGATTTAGATCCATGACAAGTTTGGTACAAGAACATAAATAAGCCTCAAGGCTTTGACATCAGAAGATATCATTTGTTTGCCAATTACATTAAATAACTGCAGTGACACAGAACTTTCTTGATAACAAGATGGCAGATCACAAAGCACAGAGTCCCTAAATTCAGACTAACTGAAGCTTGAAGAAAGTAGGAAGGAGGGGTGAAATGCTGATGCTAATTTAGTACATAAAGACATCTCTGAGAAACGCATTTTGTTCTTCCCAGGACAGTACCCTCTAATGCCTGGTATTGCCCACTGTGAATTGACATCCTCTCTACAGAAACGACCTAACTCACTAAGAGTCATGGAGATGCCTGCTCAGAACAGCACCAATAATCAGCCTTCAAAATCCAAAGGTCCACTGATACCTCAGATGGTAGGCAGGAAAGCCAGCTTACTAAAACAAAGTAAGACGTCATCACTTACCCAACTGCACAAGAACAAGCTACTCCAGTCAACAGAAGCCAAAACCACCAGCTCCCAGAGAAGGAACTTAAATAAAAGGACAAAGGAAATGATGTTATGGTGATCTGGGCACCTTCTTCGGATCCTGAATTCAGCTAATTTAACCGGAAAATGACTTGCTGGACCTCACTATTCCTTATTCTGCTCAAAGGTATCTAATTCTGAACCTCCCATGCCACCAACGCTCAGCTCTGACCTACAGGGTGTTGTTAAATGTACTTCTCTGTATCCTGAAAAGCAAAACGGAACGCTACCTGCCTTCTGATACTACAGCAGATAAAAGAAATGTATTAAATCACTTGCTGGGCTCAGTTTAAAGATAATATTACTTTACTAAAGATTACTTTATCCTTTGCACGGATCAGAGAACTGTGAAGTCACAAGAGGCAAATCACTAAATTCAGTGCCTGTAAACAGTAACGAAGGAGCGTTAAGTGACCTGTTATCATCCATGTTTCTGTGCACAGAAGGAAACCTTCCAATAAAAAATCTAGGTGGGCAAAGGAGTGTTCCAAGGGATTTTATCTTCATTGTAAAATAAAAAAGACAACCTTGCTACCAGTTAAAACAGTCTTTAACACCGCTCAGAAGAGAAAACTTCTGGGGCAGCCATCTGAGAGGTCAAAGCATTGTATTTTACAGATAGATGAAGTGAGTTGCAGAATGGTGAAGTGACTTACAGAAAAAAAAACCCCCACACAGTCTGTGGCAAAAAAAAAGTCACCACAAGAATATCCAAAAGGGTGGGAGACAATCCAGCTTTACCTGTGCCTTTGCAAATTGTAGAACTTCAGGTAGGACAAAACTGCAAGTAGGATAAAAAAGATCAGTATTGATTCCAGAAGCATGAACCTTGACTGAGTGATCAAAGAGTTCTCTGTCAGAAAAGAGAGACAGACACAAAATTAGAGAAACTTATCTATAGGCAAGTGGTACCTCAGACAATCACATCATTATCGAACAGAAGGACCTGCCCCTTTAAGGACAGCCAATTCATTTGCAATCTTACTGGCTGTAATAGGGAGGTGTTGGGTTAAAAGGGATAAAAACCTTCCAGCAGGAGCAAAGTACATGGCCATAACTGTCTCCAAGGACAAAGAGGTGGGCAAGTAGTAAAGTCTAGCAGGAGGCAGGTAAAGGTGCTGTGCTTGCCTACAAAGGCAAAGAAAATCAATACTGGGAAATCCAGAGAGGTGCTTCTCAAGGCAAAGAGAGTCAAGGCAGTGACCCCAGCAGGCAATACGCATGATGACAAATCTTCAAGACAGGGAGCTGCAATGAGCTGCTTTGTGCAAGATTCCCTGAGCCAGAATCAGAGCAGCCAGTAGCTAGGAGAGGTTTCTCTTATCAGACTGCTAAAGGGCTGTTGAGAGGCTCCTTCCCTTTCAGGCAGCTGCCAGTAGATCCTCAGAGAAAAAAAACAACCTGAGTTATACACACCAGAACAGTGTCAAATCATGGTGCTAAGGACACAGACTGGTTTGCTGCAGTTTGGAGATGAAGAAATTTGATGACCTCTGACTGTAAGTAGGGTCATCCTGCTGTTAAAAAACAGCATGTTCTAAGTCATCCTGTAAACCTCTGAGGAAGAGAGTACAGGCCTCTTTGGATGCAAGAAAAGTGGTCTTCTGTGAGTCTGTTAAGGCTGCCCGCTTTGCTTAATAATGAAATGAACTTGTAGAAAGCCTCAGCCTATAATGGTGGCCTGCTGCAGAGCTGTAAGGATAGAGGAGACCAGAGAGGCCCACCAGAGACTGCTACAGGCCAGGGATGAAAGTGGGCTCCAATGTGTTGTCAGCATTATATGTTGTTAGCATCTAATTGTAGCATTAGATGCTACTCCAGCCTTTTATGCAACCTAAAAATTCACAAGGGGAGAAGGGACTCTTCTCCCTCTGTTGTGAAGAATGGGGTCCAGGGGAATAATCTCACCTAAGAGAATCAGAAGAGCAGCTCCAAGTGCAGAACAGTGGGAAAACTGCAGTTCTACCAAAATCTGGTATGCTAAAGGCACACACAGAGCACCAGCCAGAGCTGGCAGGAGTCGCAAGGACCAAACAGGCACGTTCATGCTATATTCTGAAAGAGGAGACAACAGTGATTCACAAGTTTGGAAACTATTGATTGCAGAGAAGACAGATCAATACAGAACTCCTTATGACTACAACAAGTTGTTGAATCTAACTCCTGCCCTTAGTAATTTATTGCCAGTCTTCTACTGCTTAAACCGTTTTAATCGATTTAAAAAATCTGTGCTATGGAAACATAATGCCTTAAACTTCTGTTCGAGATCTGCAGAAGACTTACTGAAGAGGAGGAGTGAAGGTGTCAGATAAAGCACTATTTCCACTAGTCAGGCAAAAGGAATCTGTCAGCTGCTGAAATACTGCTTATTTTCTCAAAAGAATGAGACAGTTAAAATCAGCTCTTACCAGCTCCAATCCTGTTCCATAAGAAGTTTCCATCAAATCCTCCTAAGTAACCTACAACATAAGCAACAATTCAGAATTTCCAGTCTCAAAACAAGTATAAAAACTGGTACTAAATTGGTCCTGGAACCATTTCCCGAACACATAGCTTCTCCATGAATGAAAGCCCTCTTTCCCAAAAGCGTCCTCTTTCGTACTGTTTTGCCTGCAGCAGTCCTTGATAATGTGCAGAGGCGTGAAGAATGTGAATTGGGAACAACAGATTCTCAGTCACAAAGTTACATGTATATTTAATCTCTCCTTCCCATACAGACACCTTTATGTTGTGCGTATCTCAGCTACAGAAAGGAACTCAGGCCTGAAAGTCTGATTGTTGCCTACTATTTCTAGTCACTAGCAGTTCTTATCTTACCTTTCTCTTTATCCAAAGGACTGGTTAACAATGAGATAATGGATACATGGCTCCATCAACTCCCCAGTACTCATGCAAGAGCACCCTAACAATACTAAGTAAGGGAAATCCTAATTCTCTCTACGACAGAATCTCTCGGCTGCCTTGTGCTTTCCTCCAGTAACAGGATCTGACAGCTCATTTCTAATGAGCACTTCTCTATTCCACAGCAACAGGCAACAGACACTTCTCAATTTCAGGGGATGCCCTACCTCCCAAAGCTAGCAGCATATGGCCAAAAGGTGGGCCGCTGTCATCCACAAAGAAGATCCTCTTCATGTAGAGTGAAACGAATTGGCCATAATAAACTTCATCAAAACTGAAACACAAGAGGAAGAAATATGTCACATCTAACTGGAAGTAATACTAAGAAAAAAGGAAACACTGACTTGTTGGTGCAGAAAGCTAGGAATACAATGAAGGACCGTGGCTTTGCCCCTTTACCTTCCCCTCAGGAGTTTCTGTATCACTGTATTTACAGAGGCTAACATCAGGCAAGCTCTGCTCTTCCGCACCTGCATTCTTAGTCACAAATGTTTAAAAAACAAAAGTCTGTGTCATTCAAGTAAAAATAAACTATTTTACTTACACTACAGCCCGTGGATAGGAAAGCCCCCAAAGACGGCTTATTAATCCCATCACAGTCAATGCCACAAGGTTCACATTTATCTCCGCAGTAACCACAACCGGGTTCTTCAGAAATCCCAACATCCTGTCAAAGGTCTGTCCAAACCTCCAAGAGCAAAGAGACAAGAGAAGCTGTCACCATTTTGCTCAAAGCTAGGTGAAGATCACTTGACAGAAAGCATGCACCACTACTTGCTGCTGCTAGCAGCTCATGGTAACTGATCTTCCAAAGTTCTCTCACTTTCCATATTTATGTGTTTTCTGCTGCATCTACAGGAGTAACTGTAAAAATGAAGTTATTAAAGTAACACACTTAACTTTGCATCTGCCCTATGTATGGTTCTCTGTCATCAATAGCAAGCTAGAAACTTTGCTTATTTGTACACCGATTCTGCAAAAATACAATAGCTTAATTCAAGCCTATATTCTGCTTTGCGCTAAGCAAACCTCCCAGCCCAAACTCTGATGCTAGTGATAGGCAAGGCATGTGCTCATGCACCAGGCTGCTCAGGTGGCTTTGAAAAAACGAATAGTGAGTTACTTCCTTGCAAACTGAATGTACTTCTGCGGGCCGGGGTGGGTGGAGGGAGGGGGCACACAGGGCAGAACCCACAAACATCCTCCCTCTTAAAAAGCTGGCTATTGGAGCACGGGTGTAGATGCTGTAGGGCTGTAGCGCAGCCTAGGGGGAAGCGCTGCAGGAAGCAGGACTGAAGTCTTTACTCCTGCAGGCAGAACTGCTAAAAGCTAGGTCAGAAAATAGTAGAGAATCAGTGCTGTATCTCCTCACCTCAATATGACTGAAAGTTACCAGAATAAATGCATCTGCATGGCTTTGATCAGGGGAGAACAAAGCAAGATGTGAACACATCACCATCAAGTGCGGTGCCACTGTCCTTGTTTCTCACTACCTACAAAACACAAGTCCTGTTCAGCTGCACATTGCCCTGTGAAACAGACTTTTATGAGAAGCCCCTTGCAAAGCTGCATTCTCCACTGGCACTGGGGACAGCACACCACTGCCCCACCTGCCTTGGGACACAGGCAGGCCATCACCTGTGCCCTGCCATTGTTTCTCAGGCCCCACGACCCCAAAGAACACCCTGATGGAGAGGACCCTGCTTCTCCCTGCAGCACAGGCAGGCCTTAAACCCTGGGGCAGGACTGCAGCACTACCTGCCCCACCAGACCTCATAAATCTCCTCAGAGAACTGCTAAGCCCTCTACGAGGCTTTGTATCCCCTCCCGTGAGCCTTATTGTGGGGGTACTAGGACCACTAATCATCCCCCCAGGCCTTGTTTCCCCTTTTGAGCTTTATGGGGAGCAACAGCCCAATGACCCCACACCCAGGCCTCACCCTTGAGGGTTGCAGGGTCAATAGGACCCACCAAGCACCCTGTATCCAGTCTTGTACCCCACCTTGAGTGTTCTTAGGGGGATCTAGGACCACTAACCCGCCACCAG